GTTCAGTTTCCATGTGAACGTGGGCTTTCCATTGTCTTTGTCATTATTGAAGACCAGCCTTAGACCATGGTGATCTGATAGGATACAAGGGATTATTTCAATTTTTTTGAATCTGTTGAGGCCTGTTCTGTACCCAATTATATGGTGTATTTTGGAGAAGGTACCATGAGGTGTTGACAAAAAGGTATATTCTTTTGCTTTAGGATGAAATGTTCTATAGATATCTGTTAAGTCCATTTGGTTCATAACTTCTGTTAGTTTCACTGTATCTCTGTTCAGTTTCTGTTTCCAAGATCTATCCATTGCTGAAAGTGGGGTGTTGAAGTCTCCCACTATTATTGTGTGAGGTGCAATGTGTGCTTTGAGCTTTAGTAAGGTTTCTTTTATGAAGGTGGGTGCTCTTGCATTTGGTGTATAGATATTCAGAATTGAGAGTTCATGTTGGTTGACTTTTCCTTTGATTAGTATGAAATGACCTTCCTATCCTTTTTGATAGCTTTAAGTTGAAAGTCGATTTTATTCGATATTAGAATGATTACTCCAGCTTGTTTCTTAGAGGCATTTGCTTAAAAAACTGTTTTCCAACCTTTAACTCTATGGTAGTGACTGTCTTTGTTGCTGAGGTGGGTTTCCTGTATGCAGCAAAAAGCTGAGTCCTGTTTGCATATCCAGTCCGTTAGCCTATGCCTTTTTATTGGGGAATTGGGTCCATTGATGTTTAGAGATATTAAGGAGAGGGTGTTGTTGCTTCCTGTCATTTTTGCTAATAGTGGAGACATCGTTTGGGTGGTTATCTTCTTTTGGGTTTGTTGGAAGGGGATTACTTTCTTCCTCTTTCTATGGTATAGTTGCCCTCCTAGTATTGGAGCTTTCTTGCTATTATCCTTTGTAGAACTGGATTTGTGGAAAGATACTGTGTAGATTTGGTTTTGTCGTGGAATATCTTGGTTTCTCCATCTATGGTAATTGAGAGTTTTGCTGGGTATAGTAGCATGGGCTAGCATTTATGTTCTCTTAGGGTCTATATGACATCTGTCCAGGATCTTCTGGCTTTTATAGTATCTGGTGAGAAGTCAGGTGTAATTCTGATAGGTTTGCCTTTATATGTTACTTGGCCTTTTTCCCTTACTGCTTTTAAAATTCTTTGTTTTGTGCATTTTGTATTTTGACTATTATGTAACAGGAGGTATTTCTTTTCTGATCTAGTCTATTTGGTATTCTGTAGGCTTCTTGTATGATTATGGGATTATGATTATTCTCATTCCTTAAGTTAGGAAAATTTTCTTCTATAATTTTGTTGAAGATATTTATTGGTCCTTTAAGTTGGGATTCTTCACTCTCTTCTATACCTATTATTCTTAGGTTTGGTCTTCTCATTGTTTCCTGGATTTCCTGGATGTTTTGTGTTAAGAACTTTTTGCATTTTGTGCTTTCTTTGACAGTTGTGTCAATATTTTCTATGGTATCTTCTGCATCTGAGATTCTTTCTTCTATCTCTTGTATTCTGTTGGTGATGCTTATGTCTATGACTCCTGATTTCTTTCTTAGGTTTTCTATCTCCAGAGTAGTCTCCCTTTGTGCTTTCTTTATTGTTTCTATTTCCATTTTTATGTCTTGGATAGTTTTGTTCAATTCCTTCACCTGTTTGTTTGTGTTTTCTTGTAATTCTTTAAGGGATTTTTGTGTTTCCTCTTTAAGGACTTCTACCTGTTTACCTGTGTTCTCAAATTTTTTGAGAGTGTTATTTATATCCTTCTTAAAGTCCTCTATCATCATCATTAGAAGTAATTTTAGATCTGGTTCTTGCTTTCCTGGTGATATGGGGAATTCAGAACTTTCTAACGTGAGAGAACTAGGTTCTGATGATGGCAAGAACCTTGGGTTGCTGGTGCTTGTGTTCTTGTGCTTGCCTTTCGCCATCTGGATCTCCTTTGTGCTATTTGTGCTGTCTCTGACTGGAGCCTGTCTTTCCTATTATCTAGGTTGTGTCAGAACTGTTTGCAATGGGTTTTGCTGCTGGGGTTAGAGCTGAGGCTCAAGATTGCTCAGTGCTCAGGTGGAGACCGGAAGGAACCCATGCTCTGGGCCAGGAGTGAGTTCCTGGGTCCCAGTTGCTCCCTGTTTGGGGCAAGTGTTGCTGCCTCCTTGCCTAAGATACTGCTCTACTGCTTGGGTTAGAGCTCTTGGGAGCCCCGCTTCCTCTGGGTTCTATAAGATTGGGTGCAGAGCTGATTCCTGGGATCTGCTGAGCGCTTGGGCCCAGACCGGAAGGAACCCGCGCTCTGGGCCAGGAGTGAATTCCTGGGTCCCAGTGGGTCCCAGTTACTCTGTTTGGGGAGGATGTTGCTGTCTCCTTACCTGAGATGCTGCCCGAGTTATAGCTCCTGGAAGGCCCTCTTCCTCTGGGTTTTGTGAAGTTGAGTACAGAGTTGCCGCCTGAGATCTGCTCTGTGCTCAGGCCCAGATCGGAAGTCCTATTTCTTTTTCCTTTTTCTTTTTTGGAGACATTCTCATGTAGCTCAGGTTGACCTTATATTTGCACCATAGCTAAGGCTAGCCTTGAATTCCTGATTCTTTTACTTCCACCTTTCAATTTCTGGGATTACAGGTATGCAGGATGACTGGCAGACCTTACATTTGAAATGTTACATGTATAATTTTAACGGACAAGCACTATTATAATACATAAATTATTTACTTGCCATCTGGGTGGTCCACCTTAAGCAGTAACTGACAAGCTGCCTATGAAATTGAAGAGATCAGCCCAAGTACATGGATAAATACATTTCTTTAACATTCATCTACCCATCTTGTAAATAAATGTACACATGTATTTAATACAGGTAATATTTATGGTAGTAAGAAATATTTATGATAATAATAAAGAGCATATAATGATGTTCTGTCTTACTTCTGTCCCATGACAGTTCTCCCGAGAAGGACATTTGTGTTTATTCTTTCATAGAAGGGATGAGAGATACTTTTTCAGATAGAAGGAAAAAACAAACATTTGTTGTATCTATTTGTGTATATCTCTTCAGATATTATCTTGTTAGGTTAGATTCTTTCTTCATTACTAAGTTTGTTTGTGTGTGTGTGGGTGGGTGTGTGTGTGTGTGTCTTTGTGCACACTGATACTGTGATACGTGCCATGGAGGTCAGAGAGCAACATGTAGGAGGAGTTGGTTCTCTCCTTCCACCGTGTGGGTCCAAGGCATTGAGCTCAGGTATTCCAGCTTGACCGACAGCCTAATGGACAGCCTGACGGACAGTTTGATGGACAGCTTGACAGACAGCCTGATGGGCAGCTTGACAGACAGCCTGATGGGCAGCTTGACAGACAGCCTGACAGACAGCCTGATGGCAGATGCCTTTACCCACTGAGCATCTCACCAGTCCTTAGTTTAAATTCTGAGAAACAGCCTTGGCATGGGTGGCACGTAGCTGTAGTCCCAGCTACTCTGGAGTCTGAGACAGGAGGATTCCTTCAGCACAAGGTTTCCTATTAGTCTGAGTAGCAGTGAGAATTCATGTTTTCTCTTCCCCCAGTTTAGAAAGAAAGAGGAAAAAGAGGGAGAGAGAGAGAGAGAGAGAGAGAGAGAGAGAGAGAGAGAGAGAGAGAGAGAGGATGAACAGCCTCTTCAAATAACCTCTTAAAAATACTTGCTCATCTACAGCTTGTACTGTGGGTGTGGATGTGGGGTTTGTATGTGTGTAGTTCTGTTTCTCCAAATTTGGAAACGTTTCTGGCTAATTTGAGACGTGGTAAAATACATTCATTTCGCAGTAACTAGGAGGTGTACATGGGGCCTCTTGAATGCTAGTTGAGGACTCTCTTAGTAAGGAAGGCACAAAACCCAGAGAAAAAGAGAGATTTTTACTGTTTAGCTTTGCATTTTTATTGTTAGTGGAATTATCTTTTAGTATGGGGTTTTTCATAATTTGTATTTTCTGTTTTTCCTCTCTGCCTATTATTTTATCACCATTTTAAATGGTCATTTTAACAACTGTATATTAAGTATAATGATACTTGACACATTTTAAACAAGTTTTTTTCTTACAGCTTGTAAGCCTTGAAGCTTTTCATACCAGACATCCTTACCAATGCTTCCCTTTGCAGTTTTGGCCCCAGGCTGTAACAACTTTTGATCTGTTTGATGCTAACTGTAACCCTAAGCACTTCCAGAAGTACTGACCAGCACTCATCTGTTTGAACTGATCCCTAAAAGTGATTTACAATCCTGCTGCAGGCCATTTAATTTATGCCCGCTTATCCATCGAAGAAGGAATATTAAAAATATTTTTGTTATAACCTTGTACATATCCATTTCTGAGATTTTAAATTTAAAGGTAGCATATAAAGTGGTAGGTTTCTGGCCGTGTTTTCATACAAAGATGTTATATTTTGTTCGTTTTGTCCCTCACCCAATCTCTTCCATTTCTTGGGCTACACTCCTACAAGCAGTTTTCTTGGTAAAAATTAGCACTTATTAAGGCTTGACTGTGATTGGTTCTATGCTAAGCGTTTTGGGTGTGTGGTCTTTGAGAGCTGCCCGGCAGCTGGTTTCAGTGCACAGGTAATTTTTGTTCTTTTTCTTCTTCTTTTTTTTTTTTTTTGGTTTTTGTCTATGTAGCCCTGGCTGTCCTGGAACTCACTCTGTAGACCAGGCTGGCCTTGAACTCAGAAATCCGCCTGCCTCTGCCTCCCAAGTGCTGGGATATAAAGGCGTGCACCACCACTGCCTGGTGCACAGGTAATTTCTATTGCCAAGATTGCTACCGTAGAGGCTAGGATATAGTTGGACAATCTGTAATTCGTGTGTACTTTATAACTATGGGGCACGTGGATAGAGGGTGAAACCATCCCAAATCTTGTTAGGTAATTGCATTTGTATTGTAAAGTGTGTGTAGAACTAGTTGCCCTTCGAGAGAAAGGATGCTGTGTGTTGGCACAAGGTCCCTTGACTCAAGCGCTTGTCTCTTCTTCCCCACACCCACAGGCAATACAGTACGGTACTGAAGACAACAGCACTGCAGTCGTGGTGCCCTTTGGTGCCTGGGGAAAATACAAGAACTCTGAAATAACCTTTTCGTTCAGCAGAAGCTTTGCCTCCAGCGGGCGATGGGCCTGATTGCCAGCTTGGACTCGGTGTTTCTATGCAGCAATGTGTCAATGGGCTTATTGAGAAACTGGTAACACGCAGAAGGCCACCTGTACCCATGTGTCCTTGTGACCTGATAGATTCCAGCACAGTATAAGCTTACGAGCCACGTACCCAGTAGTATTTTGATAAATCCTCATTATCATTATGGTCAACTGCGCATGCTCAGTGTAAGCACCATGACACAGCTGAGAAGCTGTTCTGCGTCTCTGAGCTGAGTGCGAGAAGAAACAGTTTTTGTCTATTTTATAAGTAATAAATCTGTGTATTTCCTTTGTAAAGCTAGAGATTGAATCTGAGGTTGAATCGGATTGAATTCTAAGTTTTTAAGACTAAGAGGCAGATTTAGTTTCTTTTTAGTGTGTTCAGTTTAACAGATTTTTCTGAATTTTGATAGCTAGTCAATGTGTTATTTGCAAATGTTTCTTTTTCCTTTCTCTGTTGAAAACAGTTCTCACTGGCTGACCTTGAACTCCTGGGTTCAAGTCTACTTCAGCTTCCTGAGTGCCTTTTAATTTTTTTAGATCAGAACAAGCATAGATTTATTCAAGAAGAGTGAGAACATACACCCAGGAGATGGGAGAATTCCAAAGGAGAGATACAAGGGTTGTTTTTTAATAAGTGTACCAAGGAGTGAAAGTAAAACCTAGGTTCTCTGTTACTGAATCATGTACTCTGGATCACTTATTAGTAAATTTAACCCTGCAAAAGAAACTTCTTTAGACAAAAGACATGGCTAAAGTGTATACATACTTATAAATAGCTTGTGTATTTTAAATATTTTCAGCCCTTCCCCATCCACTTCTATTTTTATGTAGTTAAATATGCTATATAGATGTAACTGTTCCTTAATCTCAAGAAAAGAATGTACAGATTCTTTGGTCAAAATATGTAAAGTGAAACACTGACAGCGTCAATCTTATGTAAGTTTGTTGCTATATGTTTTGTGTATAGTGTGTTTATATCACTTTCTGTGCAACAGTAAGCAAGTTGGGTCCTTTATTAGTAGAGATGATATTACAATGACTTATACTACTATAGACATAGCTTGGGGTTTATGTCTCCGTTTTCCTCATTTCTAAGATTTATGCAAAAGAATACATCTTTTAAAAGGGACATTCAAACACATCAGCTTGCTATGTAAATTAGCTCCTTTTTACCTACATGTAAAATTGTTGTCAAACTGTGAATCCCTGAATGTGTGTTTGGAATTAATCTATAGTTTATTTTCACAGGGTAATGTAAATTTGGTATATGTGCAGTGAATATATATATATGTATATTTTGAAGTAATATAAAATTAAAGGGAACAATCTTGTGGAGCATTTATCAGCGAGCTGTAAATTATTGATATATTTATCTCTAAGGACACTCAACGCATTGAGTGTCAGATTCTCTGTAGTAAAGAATCAGTGGTTATTGGTAGACAACCACTATGGATTAAAAATAAATATGGGGGCCACATGTGGAGGCCTATACCTATAATCTCAGGATTTAAGGAGGAGGCAAGAGATTCAGGATGGTAACTTTGAGATTAGCCTGAGCTACAGAGCAAGTTCCAGGGTAGCCTGAGCTACAGCTTGTCTCCCAAAAGAAAATATCAACAACAAATGGTTGTAAGAGACAATTTATTATGTGTGATTTATGTGGATAACCGAAGAGCAGAGGCAGACATATTGTGTGGTAATTTGAATATGATATTATGGGGTATGAAAAGAACAAGAAATGTTCAAAGTGACTTGGAATTTAGAAACAAACAAAAAAATGAACTATACCTTCAAGTCTGACATGTTTTCTTCCTTTAACTTTTGTTTAAAATATTTAGTAGAAATAAAGAATAAATTTTCAATAAGAAATTTAAGGTCTTTTCATGGATGTTAGTTGAAAGAAACAACATTTTTCAGGCATGTTACCTTACATGTGTAGTTCCAATAAGTGGGGAGGCTGAGACGCAATAATCCTGTATAGCAAGACCCCCATGTCGAGGGACAAAATACACGGGAAAGAGTACGGTATGTGCTCACTGTCGGAGGAAGCACAGGAAGACTAGCAGAGCTTAGGGGCTTTCTTGTTGAGTCAGGTGTTGGGACAAAATTATGAAAACAACTTTTAAGAGCATAAAGAACTTGTAAACTAATGTGCACAGCAAAATTCTCAAGCATAAGAATGACCTTGTGGTGTGTACACTTCGTTTCTGTTTTCTGTTTTTCACATTGCCGTTCCCCCTCCCCCTTTTACTTTGAAACTAGGAAAGCGAACTTGTGAAGTTCAGAGGTTTGAGGGTCACTCGTAGATTAAGATGAGTTCCAGACCTGACAAGGTGGAATCTGTAGATGACTCCCTTGGGCATATTTGATCCTGTTTCATCTGGAAAAAAGATTTTTGATGGTGGTGGTGAGGTTAGGGTGTGTGTGTGTGTGTGTGTGTGTGTGTGTGTGTGTGTGTGTGTGTGTTTGGACAGACTTGTCTCAACCTCCTGAGTGCTGAGATTATAGGCATGTGCTCTCATGCCTGATTTTATTTGAAAAAAATTTAAAACCCAAATTCAGTCATCAGTGATTAAACATAAAAATTACTAGTCTCATAGGGGCTGGGCTACATCCTTTCCTGTAGACTTTCTTAACACATGTTTGCTAAGATCAAACCTGAATAAAACTACATGTTAATATGAAAAAATACCTCCATCTTTATTTTCTATGTCTCAGTATTAAAATTTTTTTTTTCGGTTTTTCGAGACAGGGTTTCTCTGTGGAGCCCTGGCTGTCCTGGAACTCACTCTGTAGACCAGGCTGAAATCCACCTGCCTCTGCCTCCCAAGTGCTAAAATATAATTTTAAGAGTATATTATAATCCTAACTGATGTGTGCCTGTTAGTGGAAATGATACAAGAATGGAAGATAAGGGACCGTTCTTTCATACTTCTTATTTAGCATCAATTTAGATGGGGGTTTGCCATGTGCATATAAATTATATAATACAGAAAGTGTATTGTAGCTATGTGTGCCTTTCATTTACATACACTATGTAGAAAATTATGTTGCCGTCAGTTATTCGGTGAAATGTTATTAAAAAGTATTGATAGTTTATAATTATAAATTCTTAAGTATCTTATCAATTCAAAATAAATGTTTTGCTTCCTGTCAGTTGTTCTTTTGTCAGGATTCTTTGTGTCTCTCAACTGCTGCAAATCCAGTCTTTTTTCTCCCTCTGGGGTCAAAGGATCCCTTGGGAGGGATCAATTTTGCACCTGTATGTTATATGATATGAACTTTCTCATGTTAATAACCCTTAAAAGTTTTTATTTTGAAGAAGTAGCATATAATCTAACATATAGAAATTATTTAAATTTTGGTTGTTAGTTAATTTTTTAAGAATGGATATGGAATTAATCTCATAGTAACATAACATGTTTTCATGTTATGAAAATGTTTCAGGGTGGGACCTGGGGAGTTCACATTTAGAGTTAAACAACTGTAGCCATGTGTTTGTGTTTTCCTTTACTGTGGGGGTTTCCTATACACCTGTGCCTGTCAAACACGGGGCCATAAGATTTGGGCTGTTCACTTACATTGAATTTCTTAGTTTTCATTGTAAGAATGGCTTAAGCAGGAATAACAAATTGTGTTTAACAAGATGAAGAAACCTAATGTTGACTTGCCTGCTGCTTTTAGCAGCTGGACTAAGACCAGTTGTTTCTATGGCAGCTCCCATTGCTTGTTTGATGATTGTAACGGTCCATGGTGTCAGAATTCTGGACTGTGAGAACTCAGATGTGTCCTACCACCAAGATCGACTGACCTGTGGTTGGGTTCCAGTGCATAAGTCAGGACCTAAATGAACTGAATTTCTGCTGAATTTCTCTTGTGAATATTTCTTTTGTAATTTGCCAAAATTCTACTTGGTACAGTTTGTAGTGAGTTTGACTATTATTTTAAATGTATGTGCTAGAGTAACTGTGAGCAAACTAAAATCACCTGTCTCAATGTTGAAAACATCTTAATAAAATGCACATAGTAAACTCTTCCTAAACCCCAGCTCTGTTTTTTTGGCATTAAGATTGTTCTGTGTCTATTGTGTCTGTGATCCAAACATTCTAAAGGGTGAGTATCAATAAAAGGAGTTGGGGGGGGGGCACGGGGATTCTTCAGTAGCCAAGTTCTATTTGCCAATTAATGTCAAAATGGTGTAGAAAAAAATCTTTCAATATTTGTACTAAGGATTTAAGCTAGGGCTTCACAAAGGCTAGGCAAGGGTCCTCTACTAAGCCAAGTCTCCAGGCCATTTTCACATTTTTGAATTTTGAAACACAGTTTCACTAAGTTATCAAAACAGCCTTTAAAAAGTGATCCTCCCTAGAGCCCCCTCATAGAGGTAAAGGGGAGGGGAAGGGGGAATGGAATGGGGGACAGATTGTGGAGGTGAAGCCGGGAAGGGGGATATCATTTGAAATGTAAAAAAAATAAAGTAATAATAAATGATCCTCCTGCCAGAGCCTCCTGAGTGACTGATGAGCAGTCTGAACCACCACACTCAGCAAGAATGCACTCTGACCTGTTCCACCACCTCTTATTCATCTTCTCTTTCAGTTCCATCTTTCAGAATGCTTAGTGGTAGCTCAGAGGAAATATCAGGATAGTTTTCATAGTAGTAATCTGCCTGTAGTTTAAAAACGAAACAAAACAAAACTGTGATATATTCCATTGCAGCAGTTTTATAATATAAAAATTAGAAACAGATGTTTGTCCATTACACTGGAGTCAGCATTATGTATTTATCGCAGAAATTTTTAGGAGCCTTGTGTTTTGACTGAGTGAGATGCAGGCATTAACACTCTGTAGACAAGAACCTTTCCAGGATGGATTCCATGGAGGAGATGTGGAGAGCCTATCGGTGGCCTTTTGTGCATGCTTACCAACATGGTAATTAGTATCTGTCAAAGAGGAACTTTCCTTTCTTTCTAATTTTTTGGAATTCGGGGTTCAAAATCCAAGCCTTAAACTTGATATGTAGCTGAGAATGATTTTTTCATTTCTGACCTTTCTGCCTCTACTTCCCCAGTGCTGAGACTGTAGACATGAGTCACCACACCCATTTTTTATTTGAACTTGGGATAGAATCCAGGGCTTTATATAATCCAGCCAAGCACTGAGTTACATTCTTAGCCCTTAAATGAGTATATTACTACATTGAATTCTACTTTAATTTATTCCAGAAGAAACATTGATTTTTTTTTTGTTTGTTTGTTTCATTTCACTTTCTTCTGTTCTACTGTGTAGCTCAAGGTGGCCTCAAACGTGTGTAGCTGAGCCTGGCCTTGAACTTTCTTCTGACCCTCCTGCTCACTTCCTAAGTACTAAGATTTATGGTAAGCACAAATACAACTGGATTAAGTATTTAAATCCCTGACACAATGTCCTGTTTTAATGTTTACTTATACAATGGTTAGTTACACATTTGGAAATATAAATGCATTCAGAACATCCACTTATATACAATCAAAATTGATAGGAACAGTGTTACATGACATTTCCTGTGTCAGTCACTTTACATGTGTTCTTTCACAAAGTGCAGGCAGAAGCTTTTCTTTCTCTTTAAAAAATATTACTTTAAAAAAAAAAAAATATTACTTTAAGTGTATGGCTATTATGCTTGTAGGTATATCTGGGTACATCATTTAGGTCTGGTGCCCACAGAGGCTTCCCTAGAAGCCATTAGCTTCATGAGCCCACCCCATCCCCTCGTCCCCAGGCTGGAATGTTAACTGTATTGGTTTTGTACAGGTAGCCACAGCTACTGTGAGTTCCTGGGTGTAACATCCTGTCACATCCTGAAAACAGTTCTGCTCTGGTCCTCCCTGTCCTCTAGCTCCTACAGTCTTTGAGCCATGGAAAGGGATGGGACATCGCTGTCCCATTCATAGATGAACACTTCACAGACACTTATTCTCTGTACTTTGGACAGTTGGGGCTTTCTTGTAACCACTGTTCACTGTACAGAGAAGCTTACCTGATGAGCTCTAACAGCATCAATGAATATAGGAATACAAATTTAGAGAACAGTTGGACACTGTCTATGTAGCAAAATAGTAGTGAGCTCACTCCTGGCCCATGAGCTCCACAACCATGAGTTCTTGGCCAGATTTATAGTAACAAACATTCATTTTCTCCTGTGGAGTGAGCCTTAAATCCAATCAGAAAGCAACTGACTACGGCCATAACATTTGTGCCACCATTTCATGCATCAGAATATCTTGCCTGCCAGGTACTGTAGATCATGGGTTTTGAAGCTGCATAAGAATGTGATGGCTTCATTTTCCTAGCAGCCTACAT